TTACCATGCCACCTGTTATTCTATCATTATTGCACCTTTATTAATAAAAAAGACACATTAAATAAATAAAGGTGCAATATAATTAAGAGACCATTAAATTTATAGCGGCTGTCGTGTACGAAAGGAAAAGGAAAGGTTAACCGCTGTAGGGAATTGACAGCAGCCTTGTCTCGACTCTTGTTCCATGGTCCCGTCCACCTGCTTGAGGTTCGAGGAGCGGTTGTACAGCTCCATGGCATCAGGGTGAAAGCGCTTCAGCAGGCTTTCATGGCTGATGCCAACCTCGTTTGACGATTCGGATTCCAAGTTGGAACATGTTCACGGCCACAACGGCGCTGGGTGCTTTTCCCCAAAAAGAGGATGCCCCTGCCATTCTAGCAGCGTAGTCTTTCACACACCTACGCATTATCAGAAGATGTATCACCAGAAGAGGAAGATATATGAAGATATAGCAAATTGAGAAAAATCCCCTCGAAACACATGATATAGCAAATTGAAACATGTCCAAACTCTTATCCATTGCTTTTTGGACATCAAGACTGTTGTCAGACCTGAAAAATCCCTCGGTCAAAACCCCGCCTACCTTGAGGTCCTTGAGGATCATCTTGGCAATCCACTTTTGCTCCATGGCCTTAGTCACCGAATCCACTTTTGCTCCACTTTTGCTCCTCAAGGTCCTTGAGGAACCTCTGAAGAATCGGCGAGGGGGTCAGCACACGTTGAGAACTTCTTCTTACTCTTCCTACAGCTGCTACTGTTACTGCCACTATCAGACTCCTACTACTACTACCAATACTAATGCACGTGTGCACGTCACCCGGCTGCATGGAAAACCCGGCTTGAGAAAAGTCACCCCCTGTGACTGATGACAACACCATGGAACGCTGAAGTATGTGTTCCGAAACTGTTGTACATGAAGAAGTTTCTGCCCAAAAGCGTAGAACAAGATGTCGAAGTGTGTTGCTTTGGGCACTGAAAGCCAATAAGAGCACAAGTTGAGTGTCATTTTCGGATTGCATCCCAAACAAAATTGGGAGGAAAACATGGCTATGAGCCCAGCGCGAGTGCAAGAGTCTTTTCGAGCCCGCGAGTGCCGCCCTACCTATATAGTTCCCACTATATTAAAAGGAAAATTGAGCAGTACTGATACTCCAAAACTGAGCTTCCAGAATATGCATTTAACCCTGCATGGAAACGCAGCATCCCAACGACTTTTGCCAGCTAGTTGTACTGCTCCAGCTGCTTTTTGTGCTGCCACTGCTACTGGTGGACCACTACTACTACTACTACTACTACTACTACTTGTTATGGCTGCCACTTCTGCTACTTGTGCCACTAAATCCACTAAATCCTCGCCAAGGCACTGAAGCCTTCCGCGCCACCTCCAGCAGCTGATTCCGTTTCTCCTGGCGGAGAAAAACGGAGATTCCCATGTCAGAATTCATGGGCTGCCCATGCTGCCCGTGGGTCAGATGAGAGGAACAAAACTGCAGGTTCCTTCCCACAAACAAAACTCGACTCGTGGATGAGACCAGAAGCGCTCAGAAGAGCTAGCCCAGCGTTGGGTTCGTTCTTCTGATCGGTGCGAGAGAGCCCTAGAAAAGCCGCTTAAACGTCCACACCAGTCCACCATCTTACGCACCACAGCAACCATTTACGCGCTGGATAATGCATGTTTGCATATTTTTGCTCACACCACCACTTGGATCACTAAATCATCTAAGTCTAATTGATTATATCCAAAGCCTTTGACCAAACATATGTCCACATTCTGAATCGTCCGACCCAACAAAAGCAGAACAACATGACACACACCTCAACCCCAACCCCAACCCTCACCTTAACCCCAACCCCTGCACCCCCACCCCACCGTAGCATCGGGTGCGTTGTGGATCTTCGTGAGCGCCAGGTTCACGTCGCCCAGCGTCAGCGCCGAGCTCACCGTGGAGGCCCGGCCCTCGACGACGCTGAAGAGCACCGAGGCGAAGTCGCCTGCGGCGCGGCGGTCCGCGCGGTCCGTGCGCGCGGGGACCGGAGTGGGGATCTGAGGGACCTGGAAGGGACCCGGGGAGGGTGAGGGGTAAGTTCCCCAAAGTGGCAGTAGAGTATACTGGACCTGATCGAATACACCAAGTAAGACCCTCTCCCAAGCAAGTGTGCGAGCGGCAGCGATGCACACTTTTCTCTATGGCACGGAGTGCAGTATTGGGCTTCAAAGTCAGCGATGCACACAAGTATAGCGTAGACACGCCTAGGCGAGCCTAGGACCCTACAAAACACAGAGGGGAGCGTGATGGTTTCGTGAGGCTGCTTTTTTGGGGGAGGGGTGAGGGGGAGGGGAGGGGATAGAGGAAGGGGAGAAGAAGCGGAAGTGTTCTGCCAAGTGCTGTTGTGTTTCGGAAAGCGGAGATATGGAGTTCACACCCATCAGGCCGGCTCATGTTCAGCACCTCCTCTCACGGAGGTACGGATTGGCCATGGAACGGCCGGACTTGATGTGGACCCCACCTGCTGCGCAGCGATAACCTTCTTGCAAGGCAGGATCCTTCCACTTCAACAGCCGCTGCCTTGCGGTGCACAAAAAAGAGAGGGGAAGCTGCATACAGCTCAGCCGCCTCGGACCTTCTGGCTCCTTCGAGAAAGACCTTTCCCGACATGTCGTCTCCACAGGATGCCACCCAAACCTCGCTTTTCACGACCACTCCGAGACTGGAAGAACGTGGTTTCTCCAACTTTTGCGCCTTTGAGCTTCGGGTAAGGAGAGCATCTCCCCAAAGAGCTTGGCCAAATTGGACTCCTCAGCGACTGGAACCAGCGACCGGAGAAGTAGGGGGCAGGAGCAGCGATAGCGCTGGGTACAGAAATGCTAAACTCTCTGCTTCTTTCATTGCAGGAAGACCCAAATATCATTTTGCCATCTAGCCAATCGTTCATTCTTTAAGTCCACGCATTTTCTCCCCCAAAAGATGTCCCAACCCTCGTCGCTCGTCCTTGAGCCCATACGCACCGCGCTCATGGTCCACGCCTCTCACAGAATGTCGTGAACGACGAGTTCGGGCGATGAGACTCTCAGACGGCCAACCCGTACAAACTCTCAGACTCTAAACAGCAAATGAGGAGCTCAACCCACTGCATGAACACCTTGCTTTTTGTAGCCACCTTCAAGTCCTACTCAGTGGATCCTAAAGTGCTAAAGTTTGCTAGACTGTAGACTCTGAAAATGCTCTGTGGAACAAGCCGACCAAACCTCCTTGCCGTTCAACAAGTCATGCTGCTTTTACCCTCCTACAGTCTAATCGACTCTGTTTTCCAAGGGCTTTCACAATCTCAACCATCTCACAAAGCAAAGCTCTTTTGACCATCTTGACCATCTTAACCAAACAAGTCTTGTTTCAGGACCGGCAACCAACTTGCCAGGCCTGGCAACAGTAGCCGCAGCAGGGGAAAGAGGTCACATGTGGTGTCGAAGCGCTTCAGGAAATGCTCGACCGCTTGAAGCTTCTCGGCCTTCCTGGTCTTTCAAAACACGATTCAGTGGAAGAGGGAGAATGGAAACGCCTCAAAAACGCTGGGCTTAGCAGGCTTACCCAAACCTAGCGGAAGAAAGGGCCGCTTAGGGATGGATCACGAAAGTTCCCACCTCTCACCAGTCAGAAGGACTTCGAGGCTGGCTACTCATCCCAACTCTACGGGTTCCTCTCCTCCCTGACCCCTGAAGATTGAGATCCATCAAAGCTCCTCTGTTTCTACCAAACATTAGTTCTTTTTGCCACACCAACAGTACTAAAGGAAACAAAAAAAACAAACAGGATCAGCCCTTGGGAAATGGCTGTTTGTCAAAACCTTCTGAGACGACGATATCGCCGCAGCGACGGACATGTTTCACTCATTGCCTGCACACGTGGAGGATTTCATCCATCAACTACAAAGCCAGGGATCTTCTTCAGGTGCAGAGATTCCAGAAAAAGGCAAAAGCGATGGAAGCTTTCAGCATCGCAGGATGAAAGCGTGCCCGACATGGGGCTGTCTGAATGCCATGAAAGGCGGGTAGAGCTACAGGTTTGGAGCCAAGACTTTTGTCTGCTGTCTGCACATGTGTGTGTGTGTGTGAAAGATAGAAGGTACCACAACACGTGTACTATGACTATTGTATATGTTTGACATCTGTGGTTTTTCATTGATAGCGTGTGGTTGCAGGACTGGAGCTATCTCTTGCTTGGGTCCGGTCCTCTGTGTGCAGTTCCTTGCTGGTTTCAAGCGACAAAAGGATTGCTTAGACTTGCTTAGCCTTTCAAAATCGAATCTAAATGCTTGGGATTCATGATTGTGAAGTAACAAACTGAGCTACATTGAAACCGGTGACAACCGCGAAGTTGGTGACTTGTCGCCATTCTACCAACCCAAAGTGCAGCCAACACATGGCCCTAACAACAGACCTTGTTCCAAGCCATCACGTTATTTCAATAACGCATGCGTCTGATAAGGCCAGTCAAAATTAAAACAAGACCTATTGACTGAATTGACTGGGTCACCTAGGTGAACTTGGCGGCTTCCCGCTGAGCACAATGGCAGCAGCGTGATCACCAACTACATGACTAGAAGCTATTCAAAACAATCCAGCATCGAGCCTTCCTTGGACAGAATTCATGGTCCTAGTGCTCTTTTGCAGTAACAAGGAGCAACAAGGGGAGAAAGCCTTGCTGTAAACCTGCATGGTGACATCAAGTTACTTTGGTGAACTGAAGGAAGCGCAAGAGCCGCCACGGCAAAAAGTACAAAAGCTTCTCAGTTGTGCAAAATGTAAACACACACACACAAGTGAGATACATTAAACACTAACGATTGTTGCCTCTCTCACCAAAGGATGTAAATTGCGCCTATGATGGTCCCACGTCCAAATCCACAGTTCAAGGAACAGCGATAGTTGCCACACACATGTGTTGCTTTTTTTATCGAACCCACGCTGGAATATTATCTGCAACTGCGACCATTGCACATTATCAATGTCTTCGAATTTCCTTGTACACGAATGTTGCAATAAGCAATCCAAATGTCAATGCAATAGATGCTGCCAAGAACAATATCAGTGTGAAGAAGGCCAACTGGGTTTGAGAGGTCGTTGCCCAATGGGTGTTGCTCGCAATGATGAGATTCGACAAGTTGATCATGATGACTCCTAGGATTGGCTTAAGGGAGCTACAGCAAGTTGATTACAGGACAATCCCCGCAGATTAGATCGGGAATTCTTCAGAAAAGAAACAATTATTCATCGCAAAACCAGGACTCCAGTCACTATCAAGAAGATCTCTGAGACATTCAGCGAGGAATCGTTGTAGGGCAGCAGGCACGCATATGAGAGCAGTGGGAAAAGGAGAAGTATTCCAATGAAGGTCAGCTGCAAAACAGGGTACGCAGAAATTGGTAAGGCTGCCGCAAGGGTTTTCAAGAGCATCTTCCGCACCAATCTCCTTTCACTGAAGGTGTTTACTTTCTTTCTCTGGATCTGGCCCGTCTGCACTTATTGAAACTATATAGAGCATGGAAGAATCTAGATATCAAGTCAAAAATCTGAAATCCATGCAAGCTCTGATTTAGAAATGATGGTGGTTGTTCAATCAACATCTAGGGATGGCAGGAAACTGCCTCTCATCAAGCTAAGCCAAAACAGGAGTTTCGATTTAATAGGCCAAGCTTCTCCACCTCCATGTATTCGCATGATTCTTTGTAGGGCATTCTCAAGTATGCTACATGCGCCTCCAGTACCTCTGACTTCGTCTGTGACAAAGCTGCTCGGGTCCAGGTGGTGACTGCAATCAGGAAGCAAAGGATAACCAAGCTGCAAAAGAGCCTTAGATGAGCGGAGTTCTGCTCGACCCCATGATTCAACAAGCTCAACTCCTTGGGTAAGGTCCGCAGTTCGAGAGTTTATCGGCATGCGGAAACTAGTAGCCCAATCCCAACCAATGGGATTTCCTCCAAAAGACAAGACAGACTCATGTGTGCAAGATGTGATTTGAACTAGAACTGCTGCACTTCCATGCAATCTTGCTTCACCTGGCTCCTTCATTCCCTCCATGTTCTGAACTGGCCGGAGCTCAGATGGCTCTCCCGGGCCAAAAAGGGTTCAGCCATCCCAACGGACCGATGCCCCAAAACAGTCAGCCGCCGCCGTGGGTGGCCATCACCCGAAGGAACCCCTACCGTCACAGCCCAAGTGGCAAAAGGCCAAAGCTTGGCATGGACTGCAAGCCTTTCGGCAGAAACTCGAACCTGCGCATTTCACCACCGTCATCCAGGTGTCCAAATGAATGTGCTGCACATGGGCAATGTACTGAACAAAGCTAAAGACTGAAAAGTTGAAACATAGGCTGAACATAAGCTATGTACTTGCAAGATGTTACCAGACTTCTCAAGTTGACGGGAAACTTAGATCATCCCTACCCCATTAGCTTCAAGGCCAATTGCTCAGATCCCCTGCAGTCACACTCACACGACTGATCTCTTAGTGCCACGCGAGAAATCCTGTTCACATAACGTAGAACCGTGCCATTGCACACAGAACGTGTACAGTTTGACATTGCTTTACCTAAAAAATATCCAGTTCAACCTCTCTGTCCAGAGTGCTCGGCTTTTGCTTTCTCCCAGAAACCATTCTCCCGAAACGTCATGCATGACGGCTCTCTGCATGCATCTTTGTTCAAACACAAACCTTTTTGGCTGGACCACGCACGGACCACGCGGACCGCCGTAGACTGTGACTGCTGGCCGCCTCGCGTCTCCAAGCAGTTCCTTCCCCTCCGTGCCCTCCTGGAGTATGATCTCGGTTCGGAAGAAGACGACCTGGGCCAAACTCGACCCTGGATTCAAAAAGCCTTCTCGATCCCACGGCAGTCGATGTTTTGACGCACGCACATAGTTGAAAAACCCTGACGTGGTCTACCCACTGCTCAGGACCTTGCGAAGGGTGAGTTGTTTTGGTTAGGCAAATTTCTTGCCCACGTTCGCCACTCTCAAACCCGTCCACACATTCTCTCCAATGCCAGCAAGATTGGAACATTCCCCATGGCGTGGAGCCATGTGCGCAAATCATCAAGAAATTGCAGTGCTCGATGGCACGCGGAACACAATCTCATTCCTGCGTCAAATCAAGCGACATACTTGGCAAAGTTGGCGCAAAAGGCTGGCAAAAAGCCTTGGTCAATGCACGAAGAAAGCAAGTTCGATCAAGATGAACCAAAAAATGACGCAGCTCCGTCAGACCCTCCCACATGACGGACTAGTGGCAAAAAGGGATCAGGTTTGAATCAAGCATGGGTTTCTTTGAACTTGTGGGTTTTGGAACATCTTACTTTATAACTCTGGTTTCAAACTGCTCTGTTTCCTGGGAATTGCATACAGACTGCATGGGATTGATATGTCAGCGGTGATGTAAGACTGCTTGAAATAAACAAATGGCAAAAGCAGCGGTTGTTGGTTATGTGGCCCAAACTGAGAGTGATGCGGTGGTCATAGGCGTTGGATATGTTACTTTCAACTAGAAGGTTTTAGGGTGGTTGGCATTGGATTTGTTGCACGCGCTGCTTGAAGCAGAGAATGGAAGGCAAGCAGCGTTGGGTTGAAGTTATAAACACCAAAACCCTGGCCGAATGACATGTCAAGATCCAGAAAATCGAAGAACTTGCTAGGACACACCAAGACCCTCTCACCCGCTACTTCAAATGATGCCTTCGTCTTTCCAAGCAACAGTTGCTGCCCACAATGACTGCCAGCTTGGGGTCGTGCACAAGACCCGCCACCAAGATCAACGTGAAGGGCACCACAGAAGCGAAGACCTCAGTTGAATGAAAGAACCCGCGCGTCTTCGCGCGCAGGTTAGGTGCAACGAGACGGATGTGTCTTCCCTGTCAAAGGGCGCGTCTTTGGGTTCAAAGGAGTTCTGTTCCATCGTGATCTTTGGGATGATTTCTTGACTTGTATACGGTCCCAGAGTTAATTTTTGACTGTTTATCGTTTTGTTGTTGTTTCTTATTTTTTGGTGCTGGCTTAGCTGGAAATGCAGGTTTCCTGGTGAGCAGCGCTCGGAGTGCACTTTGGGAAGCATGGAGCGCTGATCTTAGCATCTATATATTTCTTATGCAAAGCCTGGTAGCCCTTAGCATCAAACCTCGGGTGGCTCACAGAAAATGTACTATGTTGGAATGGTCAATTTTCTTCTTTAATTTTTAGCTTGGCAGCGCTTTGTAAACCTTGCTGATCTAAGCATTCAAGTCTTTTGTGAGATGGCCAAAGCCTGGTGTCCCTTGCCTGGTGGCCCTTAGCATCCGCCGTTATGGGGTTGCGATGGTCTGATGTGTAAGATTCCAAGCAGGTATCTATGCTAAGTTGTTGTTTAATTATCTTTCTCCGCTGGTGGCAGGCGCAGCACTCTACGAATTTCAACGAAAAGCAATATGGCGGGGGAATGGTTTTGTAAGCTGGAACAAAAGTTGTACAGGGCACGGCACGGCTATCGCAGCACTAAGTGAACCTCGGCGTCCTGATCTTAGCATCTGCATCATATATGCGAGGGCAAAAGCCGGGCGGCCCTTAGCATCCACTTTTGTGGGATTGTGCTTGTCTTGCGTCTATATGCTTTCCCATTACTGCAACTCGTAATAAAATGGTATAACTTAACTATATGAAACTGTTGAACATGTGTTGTCTTTATTAGCGGTCTCTTTTCTTCTGCAGTTGTAATTGTGACGGGCTCCACGTCCAGGGTAGAGCAAAAAAAAGCTTTGGCCGCACAGTGCACGGCGAACAAACATGAGTACATGAGACAGGTGCGTCACCAGTGGTGCAGAACACCAAGAGTAGGAAAAGCATACAGCATACAGAAAAGCAAGCAAAAATTCATTACGCCTCCCTGACTCAGGGACTGAAAAACAACTAATCAAAAGCGACAGCAACAACTAATCAAAGATCAAAGAAACTCACTACGCCACAAAAAGACGAGAAAGGAAAAATGCCAACCAGGAGAAACGGCAGGGAAAGAAAGAGGATTCACAAAGAAGCAAGGAAAAGAAACACAAGCACAGAAAAGAAGGAAAAGCAGAGAAGCAGTGAGAAGCAAGGAAAAGCAACACAAGCACAGAAAAGCAGAGAAGCAGTGAGAAGCAAGGAAAAGCAAGACAAGCACAGAAAAAAATAGAAAAACTTCGAACAAAAGAAGAATAAAAAATACCTATCCTCTTGTATACTCGAATTTGTACAATGTTGCCGTGAGAATACGGAGGAATTGGATCTCTGAACTTATCTTCCTGGTCCCACAAACCAAGGCTGGTTGTGTTTCTCCAATGATCCGGTCTGTCCCACTGCCACCCTGCAGCTTGCGGAAAATGAGAACTTAGACCCGACCAACTTTGAGACCAGTCCACTTCGCCTACCACCACCGGCTACTTGTCCCATGTGCTGCGCTTCATTTTATTCCCAAGTCTTTACGCCGAGTGGCATGTGCTAACCACATGTCCGGGGGCAAGCCAAGGTATGTCAGCAAGCAATGCGTGGAGATCCGACCCGAGGATTCTCCCGGACTCCACTGCGACTCCAAGAGCAGGCTTTGCCTCAGCGGAAACCCAGAACTGGACCTGCCGTTCACCAGCATCTCATCAATTTCGGGGTACACCTGTTCAGACCAGTGCAGGAACCTTATATGTGTTAAAAGAATCTAAGACATTCTAAAACATCATCTTCTTCAAGACGGCATCCAAAAAATGATCTTCAAGACTTAAGCACCTGAGACCGTAGAGTAAGACAGTCCCCCAGTGGCCTCATCGGTGTTCAATCAATCTTTCACTGTGCTCACAGGTATGGGAAAGCATGACGAAACACGGGGCCTTTGCATGTGAAGGGACGATCCAGTTCTAAACCAAGATGCATCAAATCTGATACAGTATCTCCCACACGCTCTTTCACTGCTTGTGCGACGCCTGTATTCAACGCCGCAACTGTTGCAATGTTCGCGACTGTGCCAAAGGCCAAGAGCTGATTCAGAAGAACGCTGCTGGTTTTCGCGTCCTGAACAAAGTTCGAGGGGATAAATGGCCCAATCGCGCCAAATGTCTATATGAATGTGTCTCAAGTTGTCATAGACAAAGCAAAATGCCACGGAGTACACGACACCACTTTTTCTGGAACGTTAAATATACCACTATAGTTGTCATTGTAGCCTGCGCCTTTTTCGTCAAACCCCTTGAGTTCCGCCAAGATCCTTTTGGTTGCCCTTCTCGTCAAGCGCTTGCAGGCCGCCGCGGTACGCGATCAAGAAGATGATGGAGTCTCTGAGGACCACATAGCCAAACCTCACGATGGATTAGTTTTGGGTATATCCCATTACCAGGGCCCAGTGGATTTGATGGTTCAGTTGCAGGCCTTTCTCTAAAATAGTCATGAGTCATAATTGTTTACCAACTGTTACAGGTAATAGGACAGACCCAGATTTCGCAGTAAACAACCTTGGCAGATTTTGCTGTTTCCCTTTTCCGTGCCAGTAAACAGGGGAGCCAAGTATCGTATCCAGATGCACATTGCTGTAGTTCACGTGTGAGCTTGCTTTTGGCATACTAGCTTCTAGGTAATCTTCAAGAAGGACACTGGCCGATCATGCCTAGTTTACAAGTTAGTAGCAAGATCTACTGTCAAACTACATGTCTGATACAGTTGATAAACCTGTTTCTGCTATATACTGGTAAAAAGAAGAAAAGAACAGCCCTTATGAAACAACTGAAGAATATAAAACGTCCAATGATGGGATGTTTGCCCGCTAAAAAACAATAAATGGCACACAGGTGGAAAACATGTGTTCTAACCTGCAGGAAAAGAGTGGGTTCTGATGTTATCATAGAACTCGGGGCAGTCATAGAAATGTCCTTCCTACGACCTTCTTGACCAAAGTAAACACTAGCATCGCAACTTTATCACCTTCAATGCGCCAGTCAGGGAACTGTGCAGTCTGTTTGAGCCGATTCGTTGTACACGTGGTGCAGGACAAAATATCTGCATCGGAGGGCGCATGGGTATCACTGCATCGCACGCAGCCGTCGCCGACATGTCCATCTTTGCACATTCTGGCCGCCTGACTCGTTGGCAGTTGGCCACCGCGACAGGCTTGAGGATTCGGGCAGTGATGGATCGGGAAGTGGTTGGTCGTGATGCGCTGCACTGGGCTCATGAAGCCTGTTTTCAGTTGAATCCAATCCGGCTCGCAAATGCCAATCGCCGCCTGACACTGAGTGCATTGATCCCTGGCTCGCTCCACCAGCTGCATGTGCCCCGGCGGGCAGGGAACGCAAGCAACGAAAGAAGTGCCGCTCAAGTCTTGGACGAGGCCCGACCCCCGCGGACAGAGTAAGCGATCAAAAATGTTCCCTTCGGTGGCCGAAAAGCGGCAAAGGCCCAAAGTGTCAGAACAATCGACGGATTCTTTCACGGTCATGCTCTTGGTAGCCTGCGCGACAAACCTGGCATTGACAAGTTGCAGCTGGCCTAGGTCGAAATCACCTCAGGGCATCTCAGACTAACCTGATTAACTGAGTGCGCCGAACAACAAACAAAAAAACACACTGTTGAACCGACCCGTGCGCACCTACCACATAGGCCACAGAAGATGACGCAATTCCCTGATGGAAATCTCGAAATCGCACAGTGGCCAGTGTCGCGCTCGTGTCCGCGTACATCGCTGACTTCTCTCGAGCAGAGCAGCTTTGGAAGTCAATGGTTGCGTTGGAATTGAAGGTATGGCCCTCAACGATGGAGAGCCCCCCCCCCAAGGCCTCGGCTAGTTGACGAGGTGCCTAGGTTCAAAGAAAAAGACCCTCATAAGGTTGTTCGAAAAACACTGTAGGTTCAGGACCATTGTTCAGGGGCATGCCAAGCACTGTTCAAGGAGAAATCTACGACTTGAACATCAATTCAACGTCCTGAAAGGTTTGCTGGTTGGCTGAGTGCAACGGCAAGGGTCTCCAGGCTTCGCAGTTCTGAAACCACAAAGTGCCTTCCCTTTGAATCAACGCAGACCTTTCAAGGAACATGCCACCCCCATCCTTTTCAGCCGTACAGTGATTGAAATGCATCATGCCGCCCAGCTGATGCATAGTTGAATTGTTGCCGATGGCAAGGCCTCCACCTGCAGTAGCTCGGCTGTTGGACACCTGCAGAAATCCAATCTCATGCGTCCAGCTTGCCCCTTTCACGGAGGCGGCCCCTCCTGTGTCCGCTTTGCAGGTGTCAAACCTGCCAAAACAACCAGTGTGATGTCAGACTGTTCACGTACAGATCTTCCTGCTAGAAGCCAGAATACAACTTTGGGGAGAAGCTACGGTTCAGGGCTTCATCCAGTGACCTCCGGCTAGCTGGATAGAGTTCTTAGGTGTAATGAACCATCCTAAGGGACCTCACCATCTCCAAACATCTGATGTTGCGATCCAGGAACACTATCGTGCCACCAGTTTGGACAATTTGCCCCTCAAGAACAAGAAGACCACCGCCGTCCGTCTCAGCTCTGCAACCCTCAAACTGCAGTGTGCCATTCACCACGAGGCTGGCGTCCTTCATGTAGACACCACCACCCGAGACCGAAGTGCACTCGGTGAGCTCGAGCGTCCCACTCACATACACCTGAGGTAGGTGAACATAATATTCGCACACAAGTCAGCACCAAAACCCCTTACATAGCAAACCATCCCAAAATCCATCAAAACCAGTGAAATGCACTGCAAAGTTGAAATCTTCTCCTTGACTGAGGCGGCCCGCCGCCCTCGGTTTCAATCCCCGCACCTGCCCTGTGGAGATGTAAACTCCGCCACCAAAGCCCTGCTCATTCTGGTCGCTCAGTTCCTCCACCTGCTGCGGCCAATCTGCACTCTCCAGCACCTCCATATATTCCCCAAAACCAGAAGTGCAGTTTCGCAAGGCCATGTGCCCACTGCGCTGCTCCACACTGCCGAGAATCCACAGGCCTCCGCCTTCGGAAGCCCGACAGCCTTTCAGCTCCAAAGAGCCATCGAGCTGCGTGAGTCGGCCGAGTAGAACTTGTGAACCTGAGGGTATGATTCGTGCCTACAATCTAAGCTAGCTGTGTACCAATTGCTCAGGTGATGTGGTCATGATGGTTGGCCACCCTGCACCTGTTGGGGGCATTGGCGAAAAATGGACTCGGTTCAGCCAACCTGAGATGTAGAGGCCACCACCAGCTTCCCCGGCAATGCAACGATCAAGTTTCAACTGGCCACCGTGCTGGATGACTTGGCCGGCTACTCCAAGCCCACCACCACTTCCAGATGCCGTGCAGTTGATGAGATGCATGGTTCCAGCATGCTGAGTCACTTCACCGTGGTGGACCCACACACCGCCTCCGCCCCAACCATGCTCGCCAAAGCGGTTCTGCACGGACAGGCATCTGTTGAGCGTGAAACTGCCGCCCATCTGCGACAGATTGCCCTCCAGGTATATTCCACCACCGCTGTGGTGTGCCCGGCAATCCTCGAAGTCAAACAGCCCGCCCTCTTGTCTGATGCCTCCAATGGCCCCAAGCCCGCCACCATTGCCCGAAGTTTTGCAATGAGCAAAGGACATGGCTCCACCTTGCTGATTCACTTCTCCAGATTGAACCCACACTCCTCCTCCGCCTGAAGTGACTTCATCACTGCCAAGCCCTTCAACGGATTTGCACCTGTTCAGCTTCAAAGTACCTTCCCTCTGAGACAAATTTCCATGGATGAAAATGCCTCCACCCGAGTCCTTTGCCTCACAATCCTCAAAGTCCAGCAGCCCACCATTCTGTTCAAGGCCTCCAATCATTGCAAGACCACCCCCATAACCCACCGTGGTGCAGGCAAAGAACGACATGCTTCCACCCTTCTGAGTGATTGTCCCGTCATGAAGGAAGAGGCCACCTCCGCCCCAGGTCTCCTCATCGGCACCATGCTGGACAGACTTGCAGGAGCTCAGCTTCAATGTGCCATTGGACTGGGACAAGTTGCCGGAGACATAGATACCTCCACCAGCTGAGAAAGTTTCGCAGAGATCCAGCTGCAAGACCCCACCCTTCTGGTTGATGCTTCCTCCAGCCACTCCCAGCCCACCTCCGTGACCAGCAGCAGTGCAATTGTTGAATAGCATGCTTCCACCATTCTGATTTATTTCACCAGATTGGATCCATACACCCCCTCCGCCCCAGCGGGTATCTCCACCTTCTTTGGTCAGGAATTGACGCGATTGGCATCGGTGAAGCTCCAATGTCCCCTCCATCTGCGCTAGGTTGCCATTGACATAGATGCCTCCGCCACCGCGACTGGCCAAACAACCATAAAACTCTAGAAAACCCCCGTGCTGCTCTATGTCGCCAATCACCGCGAGGCCACCTCCATGATCTACCGCATCACAATCCGTGAAGGAGATGCTTCCACCATGTTGAGTCACGGCACCAGACTCGACCCAAACGCCACCTCCGCCCGACATGGTCCAGTTGCCCGAGACCTCCCCACTGACCAAACATTTTCGAAGCTGCAAAGTGCCGCTGGACTGCGAGACGTTGCCGTTGACATAGATCCCGCCGCCAGATCGCTTGGCGGCACAGTCCTCCAAGTCCATCATGCCACCGGTCCTTCGAAGACTTCCCAAAACCCCAAGACCACCCCCGTAGCCTGCTGCTTTGCATTCGGCAAAGAACATGGCTCCACCATGTTGATTCACATCACCAGATTGTACCCATACACCACCTCCACCCGAAGCATGGCAAGCGTTGGTCTTCAAAGTGCCATCGATCTGGGTCAAGTTGCCCTCCAAGTAGATTCCCCCCCCACTGGCGTCTCTCGAGTTGCAAGCACTCACCTCTAGAAGACCGCCAAGTTGTTGGATGCGTCCACTTCTCACTGCCAAGCCGCCCCCATAGCCAGAGGAATTGCACTTCATCAAAAGGATGCTCCCACCATGTTGCGTGAGTTCGCCTGCCACCCAAACCCCACCTCCACCCCAACTCGACACACAGCTCGTCACCTTCAGCGTGCCATTGGTCTGGATAATGTTACCCTTTGCGTAAATGCCACCCCCCAGTTTGCTCGCCTGGCAAGTGTGAAGCTGCAAAAGGCCACCCTCTTGTTTGATGCTTCCAGCTTGCACTCCAAGCCCACCTCCATGCCCCGGGGTGGAACAGAGGGAAAAAGTCATGGTTCCACCTTGCTGACTCATTTCTCCAGATTCTATCCATACACCTCCTCCGCCCGAGGGCAATTCCTTCTTGCGTACGGACTTGCATTTCTTGAAGGTGAAGGTGCCACCAAGCTGAGTCAAGGTGCCATTCAGGATCAGCCCACCACCAACTCGCTCTGAGACACACTCCTCAAACTTGAAGAGCCCCTCAAACTGCTTCAAGTGACCTGCCATATAAAGGCCCCCCCCCTTCTGGGCTGCGCACTTCTTCACGATCACGTGGCCTCGGATCGTGAACTCCCCGTGCCAGGCCACCCCACCTCCTCTACCTCCTGAGGCATAGCAATGGTTGAGGAATAAGCGTCCTTCGCCCTTCTGGTCAAGCTGTCCAGAGAGAGCTGCAAGGCCACCCCCAGATCTGGCCTTGCACCAGGTCAAGGATATTTTTCCGGCTGTCTGCGTCAGACTGCTCTGCTGGAGCATTAGGCACCCGCCAGAATCATGAGCTTTGCAATTCTTCATTCTCCAATCACCCCTGCTCTGGACCAAGTGGCCACGATTCAAGAAGAGACCACCTCCTGCCACAGTCGGCGAGTGAGGTCTCCAGCTTTCCCTCGGCTTCCAGAAACCAATGCTCTATCATGATTGTTGCCAAGCTGTTACTATTGTAGTCTTGTTTTTATAAATTGACAGTTCCCTATTGAAAAGGATTTCCTGTTGAAAAAGATGCATGACCAATCTTGACCACCCTTTGATGTTGAATACGCAAGCGGCCAACTTTAAAGCTACGTGGCCATGACCCTCTCCTGTCTTTGCCTCACAGCCTTCCACTAGCACTTTCCCCTCAAAGGAGGCGTGCCCGTCTTCGATGGCCATAGCACCCCCAGTCCCTGTAAGTTCCTTAGATCCACATTGAGAGTCCTGGTCCAAAACCACAATTTCCCGACCAGGAAGGAAGCACAAAGACAGAGTTCCCCATACCTATCACCCTTCGGCAGGGCAATGTTCAACCTCCTGGGAACGCACAACAAGAGGCACCTAAGACACCTCAAAACCTGGAGCTGAGGAGATCTTTGTGCAGAAGGAAGTTGAAGTGCCAGGGTTCGCAAACCCACATAATCTTCCCATGCCTCACCGATATCCAGGCTCATATCGGAGAACTCACCCAATACAAGGCAAGCTCAGATCCACACCTCCAAGTGGTGCCTTCTAACCTTGCCAAGGCTCCCAAGTGTTTTTCCACCATTGTGTTTCCGTCAAAACCTTGCGCCCCACGGAACAGCTGTGGAACTCGAGCTTGCCATGGTGGGTCAGGGTTATGGCGCCAGACCTGTCAAATCAAAAGTTTCAGCGCAAGAACTCCTCCATCATGAATGAACACCATACGTAGATGTCCAGTTCCACGAACAATGCACACGTTACTGTTCAATTCTGCAGTGTATCTCCACGTTTGCAAGTCTTTACATCCCCAACAAATTCTTTCAGGATCTAAATCATCTGTAGGCCCCTGCGGACACACTCTCACCTTAGCATGAGGCCACCGCCCTGAAGCTGCGCAGTGCACTGGTGAAACTCCAGAATTCCATCCAAGCGTAAGCCTTTGTCACCGCAATCAAAACCTGGCACCGGTTCCAAAACAAAAACGGTTTCAGAAACTATACTTTGAAGTCAGGAGAGGGTTGACCATTCATGCTGGTGTTCTTGATGCATCAGTAAATGAAAGAAAACTGCACCTTCCACTTCCCTCCGGAATCTGGCTGCAATGAATGCAGCACAGTCTCCGAAACATTGATCTCTAGTTTGGGAAGTAAGCACAGTTTCCAAGATGCAGTTTCTGAAGCTCCGAGACGCAGTTTCTGAAGCATTGTTACATAGTTTCTGAAAAGTCGGGCTTTGCCTCCGAAGGAATCTAATTCCCAAGTTCCCGAACAAGCTTTTCCAGACATCGTTTCCAAAATTGGTGTTGCCTTTAGATTTGCTCTGTCCAGGGTCAGAACGCAGAACAACTTTGGACATGCAATATGCGTTTCAACGAGCGCTTTTTGAGCCTCTTTGAGCCTTTAAAGCATCATGCAATAGAGTGTGTGCTCCCGTCGCATTTAGTGGATCCGCTTTGACCCTGACCGCACGTGTGAATTCGATGCCTTTAGCTGGCGTGGGATGTGTCTTTAGGTAGAGCACTTGGCACTTGGTGGAGGACCTATGGAAAAGGGACAGGAGACATCCTCCTTTGTCCCAGCATGGGATGGCAAATGGGCCCTACAGAGTTCCAAGCCTAGCGAAAGACCCCTTCTTGCCGCAAGAATCTCTTCAATCGAACCATGCAGCACTTGTCCAACTCATGTACAAACCTCGCCCCGAAGATTTTTTGATCAGAAGCTGATGTGACCAAGCTCATCAAGTACTTGGAAGAAAGTCCTTTGAACAAACAGTCTCTTCCAGATGCAGGTTCCAAGATAGGTGGCTTCTACCGAAGGCTCTCTCGAAAACCTCATGAGGGAGCCGAGAGGATAAACTCCATGATGACATGGTCCACGCGCTCCAACGCCTCTGGAGAGAGAAAGAACTGTCGTTTGAAGACTACGGCGTCGACCTCAAGGGGCTTCGCAAGTTTTGCGGCTTCCAAGCCCAGTCCCTCTACCACCGATATCCTGAAGGAACTGACCACGACCTAGAGCATCTTGAACCTGACGAAGCTTTCCCAATTGAAACTGATGAAGAGCACACCAAAACACTGCGCGCCTCACAACCTAGAAGGCCATTCTTGACGACCTCAAGGAGTTCCAAAGGTGCTGGGACGAGCAAGTCCACCCGCACTTTCATCTACCTCCCATGATGATGCGAAGCGTGGTAAAATCGGAGAGATTGATGGAGACGCTCGCAGCCCTGGATGTCATCCGCAACCTGGTGGAAGCCCGCAAGGCACAGTTGCAGCAGCTCACAAAGATCATGGCCGGCCTGGCAAGTCCCATGGCTCATTTCGATCTGCGCCTCATGATGGTCACTGGGCTCAAGGTGGCGAAGGTCGATCTTCATGTGGAGGCTGTGGCAGCCTCAAGGGCAAGGGCAAGCAAAAGGAAAAGGCCATATATGGTTCCAACTTCCACGTGGGCATGATGGAAGTCGCTGGAGACCTCTCGATGACAGGGCACGCTTACTTTGCTGATGGCCGCGGGCCGCGACTGAAGTGAGAGCGCCTCGCGAAGCCAAGCTTCCGCCCTATCAATCTTTGGTTGACACTGGCGTGACAGCAAGTGCCGGTGGAAAGCAAGCTGCGCAAGACCTTTGCAAGTCCCTCATAGCAGTCCGACCAAACCTGGAAGTGACTGTGATCGAAACAGCGAGACCTTGGCTTCGGTTCGGCAGCGGTCGCTGGGGACGAGCGCTCTATAAGGCAACCCTCAAGGACAACATGTTTCCTATGTCCATCTATGCACTACCTGCTGTTGGAGTTCCTGTTTTGACTGGCACGTCATCAACTGTACTACTACGGGAGCATGCGTCATTCGAGGTAAGCCCACGCAGTTGCAAAAGAACCACAAAGAGCACCTCATCATCGACTGTAAGGAACACATCTTTCCTCCCACAGACAGTGGCATGGCTGGCCCACCACACATGAAGCCCAATGCGGTGTGCCCTATACGTCCTCTCTTTTTCCACCTCGTCGAAACCTTCTCAGAGGGTGCGCTTTTCGGAAGTCGAAGAGTGTCCTGTCTTAGACATTTTCACTTTGGATTTCTTTGAGAATGACAACATGGAAACCACGGTCACGCGATTGTTTTTACGATTTTGTTTTGGGAGCTTCTCACTTGGGAGAGACTGAGACTTTGCTGCAGCGTTTGATGAACACAGCTGACAAGTGTTAACTTAGCCCGAATCCGACGCCCTCATTGACTGTGACCAATGGCCGACCCGTCGCTCAAGGAGTCAGGAGGAGATTCGGAAGGCCGTGAGGGAAGTGGTTCAAGAAGAGAACTCACAGGACACGAAGCAGGCCAAAGAGGAGATCAAGACCACGGCCGCCATGGCCAAAGGCAAAGCCAATTTCAAGACCGAGCTCGACCAGGTCACATCAGGTCTTCATAGGTCATGGGCACCATCTAAAGCAAAATGCTCCACTTGACTCCTGTCCTCATCTGACGAAGGATATGGTGGGAGCTCCATCACTGGCGGAAGTCCTTCTCGACAACGATCCTCATTTGCGCTAACCAATTCTTTCCACCTCCGCGCTTGCTCCTTCACGAGTTGTCCTGGATCTCTATAGTCTTGGACTTTCCCTCGCCCCCTCTCTCTCTCTCTCTCTCTCTCCATTTGTCCACACCTTTGGCTGCATCTTCTTGAGGTTGACGTTGAACAGCTCTGCAATTGTGACCTCTTGGTTGCTTGCTCGACGAAGTTGTTCTGGAGCACATCTCCACACTTGAGTTCTCATGAGCACCGAAATGACCATTGGTCTGTTTTCTGCAATGACAGCGGGCTCAATCAAAGCAACGACAAAACGAGGTTCAGGGTTGGTGGAGGCCTTTCGACTTCTCCAAATAGCTGTCCTCTACACACAGACAGATTCTCCGATGTGGTGTTCTCTGTTTTGTCGAGGCGCTGCATTCTTCAGTCGTGTCCAGGCTTCCTTGGCTGCTTCAAGCTTCCAAAGTTCATCGGCTTCGCGCCTCAACTTCTGAGCTTTGAGGTAGATGTGCATTGAACTCGTGGGGTTCAACTTCATTCGTCATCTTCTCGGGATCATAGCCATAGGCCCATTGCAGACTCCAACTGCATAGTTGTGGTTGCGCGCAGCTGTGGGTCAATGTCTGGACGTTCCTCTCACAGTCTTCTCATCGTTTGTTTGATGACTCGAATCAAGGGCTCACTCGTTCCTTGTTGCCAGTGAGCGGGCGGCGACACACTGACACCAACCCCTGCGAGCTGCATGAACTCCATAGACTTTCCTGAAGCAAGGCTCTTTGAGGGCCAACCAAAATCCAACCAGGCTTGGTCAGCAGGCCACATGTCAACAAAGTGTTCTGCCAACAAGAAAACGAGCTTTGCACCTAAGAGCAGGGAACACTAAGTCCATGACATCTGCTGTGACATTGCCAGGGTGAGGGTTTTGCTCCAATGCTATAGGGAATGACCAACTGTCCTCGAACAGTGGAAATGCCCGCTGGGCGCCGGCGCGCCACGGTCTTTGCAAAGACGGGCTAAAGCTCGGTTCGTGGGATGACCTGAGGCTTTGTGAAGTCGACGAAGTCGATGTAGAAGGGCTTCAATTCTCTTCTTCCATTGGGTCATCTTTCTCCATTGGCATCAGCAAGTCATTCTCCATCACCTTGACCTCTAGATCCACTTTACTTTGGCGCGCTCCACATTCATTGGGCAAGTGCGTATGGACGTTCAAGAACCCTGAACCCTGCCAACCAAGCGCGTGGAAGAATAGCATCACGCGTGGATGACTTCATCATCACTGGAAAGGGGGACAACAAAGATTGGCAACAATACCGCCAACTCTTCAAGGGCCTCTACAATTCGTCCCCTTGACAAGCCGGCGCTTTCACCTTTGCCGGAATTGAATTGAAGCAAGCAAAGGACAACACCATCTACATGACACAAGACACCTTCTGCAGCCTGTTGACTTCGGCCCTGAAATATCCTACGTGCACTTCAAGAGCTGAAAGAAGCCAATTCCATAGTTCGAGAACTCTGAAAGTCAGCAAAAGAAGTCAATGCTCACCGGAAGGTCAAGCTTCAGTGGAATCAGCTGATTGCAGTTCACTTCGCTGCTGCAGGTCTCAACAACTGACCTGGAGGTGGTTCAACTGGAGGACACATTTCGTGTCTCTCTGACCCAATCGTCCTTGCAGGTTCGAGCTCATCGATTGGAAAGGCTGGAAATTGGACGGTCCGTCCAAAGGCTCTAACGGAGCCAATTTATGAAGGTGAAGATCGTGGATGGCGTCTTCGTCTGTTTTGGGCTCTTCTGAACAGAGAGAAACTCAACCGCCGCAATGCTGACCTTTTAGCCAGCATGACCGAGAGCCTACTCATCATGGAAAGCGGGGATGCTTTGACTCTCTGACCATGAATGATTCCGCGGTGCTCGGCATGCAACTTGCCCGAACAGGAGTGGAAATGCTTCATGTCCAGAAAGGCACACATGATGACAGCAATTGTCACCCCACCTGGGTGCCATCCGACCTCAACTTAGCTGACAGCCTCACAAAGGCCAACAAGACTTGGGTGGTGCGCTTTAACCACGAATTTGTGAGTGCCTGAAAGGCACAGCGCCTGAGGAAGGAGAAGCTTCACCAAGAAGCCCAGACGCTGCTGGTTTTGAAGCGAAAATCTAGAGCTGTGGCAAGAACACCATTTTGGTGCAACCTTCCCTGAAAGGGACTGATGCTCAAAGCTCATGGATTTTTCCCATGTTTCATGAGCGCTTTTTGAGCCTTTAGAGCATCATGCAATAGAGTGTGTGTTCCCGTCGCATTTAGTGGGTCCGCTTGGAGCCTGACCGCACGAATGAAATCGATGCCTTTAGCTCGGGTGTGATGTGTCTTTAGGTAGCAGTTGGCACTGGACACAACATTATGCAAGGATCCCCTGCACATGACAGTGAAGCCCCTGGGCGATTGACACTGGACATGTTGAAAACCACCTCTATCTATAGCGGCCCCTCTCTCTCAAGTGGAGCCTCCACCGGTGCTTTTGGCTGAGCAATTCCGGATGGTGAGGTTCGCAGTTGGAGCAATGCGCAACCCACGTGCTGCTCCGCCACCTCCACTCTCCTCATATTTGCCGCGGCTTCTGGTAAACCTTATATTTATTGCCTAAGACGTACAGTCATGTACATGTTGTCTTTCATTCATTACACGTTGCCTCAAAACTCAAACACCTCCAATACGCTGGCCTGGTCCTTTTGGCATGCACTCACCCACAAGGGCCTGTCTCAGGAGTCCTGACTATGTTTGCATGTTCTTGTGGCCTGTAGGCTTGAGCCACTTCTCCTCGAGATTGTCACAGTTCTCAATCACCACCGTGCCAAGCACTGACAGCGTATGCGTCAAGTGGAGACACGCCTTGACGAAGGGCAAAACAGCAGATGACGAGATTCAGCATCCGTTTCGGGGCTTTGCGGGCTTGCTTCAGCTCTTGGGATACAAACAGCAAAGTGATACCAAAGGGCCTCACTACGAACAGAGTCTTCAAGGTGTTCCAAACCATCCGCCTTGCCGAAAGATCTGGTGGCAAAGAACCTCGGAAAGGTCTGCAAGGGCTTCAAGGAGCCCACAAGCTGCAGGGTCTGGGGCGCATGGGAAACAACACTTGTCAGCACCCAAATAGCTGGTGAGCCATCATTGCTCCAAGGACTATAGGTTCTGATTCTGATCCACAGGACAACAATATTGCAAAATGGTGAAAAGGATTCCTTGCGTGGCACGGAAGATTCCATCCTCCTCAGCAGCTCTGCTTTCTAGTCTTGTCTTGTTCTTGTTTCCTTCAATTTAAGGTTTATTGGTCTTGCAGTCGACCTATTTCGCAATGACTGGTGATGACTAGCAAGGAAGACACCCACAGATCGAAGCCCGGGTTGTGGAGGTCAATTGGTTCTCGAGTGGTCTGGCCAATCGACTCCTTGCAATTTGTTCAGTAGGCAAGCATTAGGTACCCACACCGAATTTCTTTGTACCTGGTCACTATGCTCCCATTCGTCCTCTTTCCGCCCGGTGGCAGCAAATCGCCATGCAGGGTGAGGTTGTGGGCCATGATGGGACCATCCAGCTGGATCCTCCACAGAGAGCTGTTGATCGGGATGAGAACAGAAGCGCTGGGCATTGTCATGCGAGTTGCGGAAATGAAGATGGGAGGAATGGGAGGAGACGAGCGTAGGTCGTAGGTGAAGTGAGGTAAGTTGAATGAGATGAGCAGTAGGACGGGTCAAGGAGGAGGCGGTGGTTGCCTTGTTGACAAGAACACTTGCTGCTTTGACTTCTAGCAAAGCATGGTCCCCGGCCCGCGAACCACATGGCTCCTTGTCCCAGCCGCAGCAATCAGGGCGCAGCTCTCTCCGAGTTCAACGCCTGCCTGCAGCTGGCTGAGATCAAGCTCCGCCGGAAACCACCACCCACCACCCACCACCACACTGGGTGTTCTCCACCGAGCACGTTCTCTCCCTTTCAGCTTCATCCGTGCTTTCTCTGAGGTTGGATGATGATCACATTCTCACACTCTTACGCACTCGATGAAGCCGCTGGACCTAAACCAAGCATCCAAGCAAGAGAGGCATGCAAAGAATACGAGTCGACATGCTCAAAGCATCATTAAAAAGCATGAAAATCATGGTAGTTGACATCCAAGACAGTCGCAACTGGGGCTCAGCTGTCCCAAGTCATCCTGCCTTTGGAACATGGTAAAGCCCCCGATTCAAGTGGAGAGTGCCCCCACCACAGCTTTCATCAAGTTGATGTGCAATGTCCTGCACCAGGGCCATGGTACATATGAGATGTCGATTAGAGACATCTAGTGGCATCCAGGAAACCTCGATTGACATTGCTATTCCAACATCAAGTTTCCTGATTCGAGTCCTGCTGTTGCTGGATGTCCCCCTTTGAGGAGCCAAAAGTCTTTGCAGACGGAGCCTCTTTGTCCTGGAGAGTTGTTGACAAGTCCAGACATAACGAGGGCAGCACCCTAATTTGCATCATTCACACAGGAGAAAGAACAGCAAAACCACCTATACATAACCATGTGCCTACAATTCAACCAAATGATACAATGACACATGCCAAGAAGTTGAACCAGCTGTTTCAGTCATGTACCAGTGCTCCTGCAACAACTCCGGCATGCAAGCTCTTGTTCGTCCAATTACTTACAACACCTTGACTAGAAAGCCAAACAAAAACCTCCTGAATACGACGCTTCTGACATCCCATGGCTCTGATTGCCCACCAAAACAACGTCATCAAACATCTACAGTACATCCTCATCCTGCAGAGCAGGCGGACCAGACTTGGTTTGCATTGTGAGTTTCCGGATCTGCTGTGGTTGACTGGAACCATCACCCTCTTCTCATGGTTCGTTGCCCTTCAT